AACAGCACGGGAGGACAGCTTGTCCGCGGAAGAATCGCGGACAAAAGCTCGAGATCCCCAGACACGGAACACAGACGCATCGCCAACCTCCCCCGTCCACAGCAGAGTAGGTGTGGTCTCCGGCATGGAGACACGGGGCTGGAGGTTGAGCTGATGCGCAGCGTACTGGACCGCGAACGGCCACAGAAAATGGGGAGCAGCCGCATGGATCATGGACGTACGAGCGACGTCCATGACCATGCCAATGCGGCGCTCAGCAATCCCATTTTGCTGTGGGGAGGCCGGAAGCGTGAACGTCTGGCGGATGCCCTCCGCACGACAGAAGGCCCGCAGAAGGTCGGAGGAAAACTCACCACCTCTGTCGGAGTGCAGACGTAGAACATGAAGGTCCGAGCCGAAACTTTCGCTGAGCTGGCGACGGGCAGCGCGGATCCAGGTGATCAACACCTCAGTGACCTCACCCTTGCGGCGCAAGGGGAAGACTGTGGTGTAACGCGAGTAGTCATCAACGACCAGCAGAAAGTAACGCTCGTGACCCTGTCCACGGATGCGGGCTGGGCCCCACACGTCCATGTGGAGAGTTTGCAGGGGAGCCTCCGTCGGAGGGAACTCGGAGGAGTGAGGAGCGGCGCACTGCCGTCCCTCGACGCAAGGAACGCAGGTAGGGGCAGGCCCCGGTGGGAGGGGAGGGAGAAATCGGGGGAGACCAGAGACAAGGTTACGGGAGGCCATACCTCGGAGACGAGGCAGGGAGGGGTGACCAAGGCGGTGGTGCCAGAGGAGAGTCTGGTGTGACAGGAGACGACACGAGTAGGGGGGAGACTCCGGACCAGACGTGGACGCGGCAGCAATCACCTGACCAGTGGGGCTACCTGACCAGACTCAGCAACCGGAGGAGACTCAGTAGTCAGTGTGTAGAGGCTCGACCCAGGCCGACGGGTGAACGTGGCCAGGTGGCGGCCCGTCCGAGTATACGTACAGTGGGTCACACGCTGACCTCCAGGAGTGAACTGGTCAACCCACACGTCCTGGAGGTCAGCTCCACTCACCAAGTTCGTAGAGAACGAGGGGAGGTGAAGACCCGACAGTGAGCCAGACGGGGCCGCCGGACACGGCAGAACCGTGGAGGAGTGCGCAAGGACTGGGCCCTCAGAGGGGTCCGCCAGGGAGACTGCAACCGGCCGACTGAGCGGCGTGAGTGTGGTGCTGTCGCGAAAGAAGGAGCGGGAAGCACCTGAGTCAAGCGTGAAGGTGTGCAAGGCCTCAGCAGGCGCAGTACCAGAGAGAGAGCAGACTCACTAGCACCTGGAGCAGAGACTCACTAGCACCTAGAGCAGCAGCCTCAATGCCCGCGTCGGGGGGAACACACAGGTAACAGTCACCCTCAGCACTAATAGTCACAGCATACATGGCAGCAAGGATAGCATCGAAATCAAGATCAAAGATAGCAACACCAGACCTAAGCAGATCAGCCCAGCGAGGGAGCTCACTGGCGTCAGGAAACTGTGCGCGCCAGGCGTCAGACAGGCGACCGAAACAGCGCTGTGTCGTGTGTGGCAGCCCGCACGTCTCCCCACGGCGCTCGCCGGTGCGGAGAACGTAAGCGCAGGGACCAGCACCCCCAGACCTCCCGCGCCCAGCGTACCACTCACGAAGCTGCTGGGGCGACGGGGCCTCACGGGAACGCGGCTGCTGCTGTCGCTGGCTACCGCCAAAGCCTCCACGCTGCGCGGCTCCATCCCGACCAGCACCACCGCCGCCGCCACCCCCACTGCCGCTGCCGCTGCCTCCACCACCTCCACCGCCGCCACCGACGCCCCCACTCCCGCCACCACCCCCACCTCCACCCCCACCCCCTCCGCCTCCTCCACCGCCACCACCGCCGCCCCCGCCGTCCCCTCCACCACCCTTGCCCCCCTTGCCCTTCCCGCTGCGGCGCCTCCCACTAGGAGCAGACGCAGCTCGTCCTCCTCGGTGCCAACGAGGTCGACAGCAGCAGCAAAAGCAACAGAGGGCAAAAGGGGAACGGGGGAACACCCCTCAAAGAAAGGGGCGCGAGGGTCGCCGCGAGAAGCTCCTACAGCGACTATGCTAGTCTCAGCTGCAGTGAGGCGCTCCTCGAGCAGGTCGACGGTGAGCTCGGTGGGGCAAAGGGAGAGAAAGTGGTCCCTGACTGAGCGAAGAGAGTCAGGGAGACGGGTGACGAGGTAGAAGAGGGTGATGTACATTGGGGGGGGGTTCTTGGCGCGAAACTCGGAGGGAAGCGCAGCGCGGTAGCGGGTGTCACTAGTGCGGAGGTGAGTGATGAGGTCAGCGACTGTGGCAAAGGCGGCCAGGTCAGGGAACAAGTACGGCAGCATGAGGCGGCTGAGGGCAGCAGTGGCAGGGGAGGAGTAGCGCGCGACGACAGCGTCATACAAAGACTTAGCAGTATTGTACTGGCCAAAGTGCGCGCGCTCAGCAGACGGCAGGTGACTACGAACAGCAAGGCGAGCAACAGCGTCACGAGTAGTCCACTGCGAGCGAACCGTACTGTCAGCAGTGGCAGCAGGTGCAACAGAGGCGCCGGACGTGTGATCGAAAAGCGAGACTCCGTCCCTAGAGTCGCACTGAAGAAAGAGCTGCAGGTCATCTACCCAAACGTCGAAATCGACCGCACGACCCTCAGCATCAAAGGTAAGAACAGTAGGGCTAGCCATGGCGGCAGTAGCAGCAGTAGTAGCAGTACCAGCAGAAGCAGCAGGAACAGCAGGAGGAGCGCGGGGAGGGCAGCGCAGCGCAGTAGGGCAGGGCGGCGCGGTCCAGCAGAGCGGTGCGGCTCGGCAGGGTGGCGCGGCTCGGCTGGGCGGCGCGGCTCGGCTGGGCGGCGCGGCTCAGCTGGGCGGCGCGGCGCGGCAGGCAGGCGGGCGCGGCGGCGCGCTTAGCAGGGCGGGCGCTTACCAGGGGCGGGTGCAGGGCAGGGCCGCGACGGGCGGTTAGGTCAGGGCCGCAACGGGGCGGCTGTATGGCAGGGCCGCGACGAGGCGGCGGCAGAGCAGGGCCGCAACGGGGCGGCAGCAGGGCAGGGCCGCGACAAGGCGGCTGCAGGGCAGGGCCGCGACGGGGCGGCGGTAGAGCAGGGCCGCGACGAGCGGCTGAGGGCAGGGCCGCGACGGGTGGCGGCAGGGCAGGGCCGCGACGGGCGGCTGAGGGCAGGGCCGCAACGGGGGGGCGGCAGGGCAGGGCCGCGACGGGAGGCTAGGTCAGGCCGCGACGGGCGGCTAGGTCAGGCCGCGAAGGGCGGCGACAGGGCAGGGCCGCGACGGGCGGCTAGGTCAGGGCCGCGACGGGCCGTTAGGGCAGGGCCGCGACGGGCCGGGAGGGCAGGGCCGCTACGGGCGGCAGTAGGGCAGGGCGCGCGACGGCGCAGGTGAGGCAGGCGCGAGGCGCGCTTCGGGCAGGGCAGAAAAAAAAATATCGTGGTGGGCCCTAAAAAAAAAGGTTCCCACTAGGGAACCTGCTCTGAAACTATGTCAGAATGTAGGAATCAAGGATGACTAGAATGACAACAATACAGGGTTTGTATAGCAAAACCTAATTGGGCTGTACCCCATAAGGAGTGCCCCACTACAGCCTAAAGCATATAAATTCATAGTTCTGACAAAGCTTTCACAAAACCTAGAACTAGATCGCTCTGGTAGGAACTGAAGTAGAAATTCACAACAATTAACTCGGAAAACAAAGAACGACAGCGATTGAAACGAAAGGAAGGAGTAGGTGGAAAAAGAACGCTAAGACAACGACGTTAGTTGAAAGGAAAGCATATGAAAGAGATGAGTTAACTGTCAAATAAGCTCACCTTAGAACTTGGAGTGAAGGGTTGTAGATGGAGATACGGTAGAAGCCACTTCTAGCTGGAGATAGTAGTTGAAGGAGACCCACTATGTGGAGTGGGTGGAGTAGCAGGAGCAAACGAAAACAAGTGGAACAAGTGGGAAAAGAACAAGAAATAAAGCATCAAAGAACACAAAGGCAAAAAACAGAGCATGAAGGAACGGACGTGAAGGGGTGAATAAGAGATAGCAGAAATGAAGGACGCGCGAATCATACGAAAAGTAGGAACGGAGGACAAAGGAAGAAAGAGAACATACTACTGAGTAAGGAGTCTGGAAATATGAAACGGTAAAACATGGGCGAGATTGAAATTCTAGCAAGAATGATAAGTAAGCAGCAAAACGAGAGAGATCTAGGGGAGCAAGAGTACGCGGAGAAGACTAACAGAATCCTAAAATGAAGTTCAAGTGGCTAATATCCATTTATACCTATGAAAAACGGCGTACCAGCTTGCACTAGAGAAGAGCCACGAAGGAACGAGACTCGAGTGGCGAAATGAAGGAAAAGGAGAAAAATAAGAAACCCTAGCAATGGAGATTCGTCGCAAAATACGAGTATCAGTAACAACGGACCTGTTCAAAGAAACAGCGGTCGTGATGTTGTGGTGAGAGATTTGCTGGAAACGAAATTTCGATAGCTCGAATCTTGCGGACACCTTTTGCATGTGAGTTTCATACTCGGTAATAGAGGTGATGGATAATAAGGTAATAATGAAAAAAACGAGTTACATACATAGTATTACAGTTGTATAAAATATGCAAAACGCTTTGCAACCCTAAGACGATTTCGTCGCCTCTTGTCTTTTTTTTTCTTTTTTTTTTTTCCCGCCGTCAAATAACGAACCGTTTTGCGATGGCGTCAAAAGGTGTGTCAACTTCGCGAAATTTGATATTGGCCCGATGTTCTCAGGGGGGAACGGACAATTGTCGTGAATAGACAAGCCTGCTATATACACAAGGCCCCTGTTCGGCTACTTTCCCACTAATCTTCGGACCAGCGTTGATATTTTCCCAATTGCCTCGCAAGCTTCCGAATCAACACACGTGCTGGAATCGAATGCACGTGCAGCATTGTCCGTTCAGCCTCCCATTGCCAGCATGGACGACGATAGCAGCTGCACCAAGCGATTAAAGACACACGACGGCGGCTCTCGTGCCGCCGGCTCCGAAGCGGCGGAAGCCGCTGCTGTGGGAGCTGGTGAGGCCGCCGCGGAAGGGAAGGCGGGCGGTGCGGAGCTGGGCGGCAGTGATATCGCGGGCACTGGCGACGGAAGGGCGATGCCGACAGCATCGACGGACGTCGATGGTGGTGGCAAGACGAACGGCGAGAGGCGTCGAAGCGAAAGCGAGCAGGCGGATCATGGCAGAGGAGGGGCGAGCGACGGGGGTGCGGGGGAGGCGGTCGGTAGCGCGAGGACGAGGGAGGCGCGCGGCGACGGCGAGGTGGTGACGCGGGTTGCGGCGGGGCAGGCGGAGGACCGCGGCAGCCGGCACACGTTCGAGGACGTGGTGGTGGCCGTGGCGGACGCGTGGGGCGACGCGCCTGACGCACCGTGGAGCGCGGACATGCTCAGGTAGCGAGGCACGCAGGGTAGCGAGGCACGCAGGGTAGCGAGGCACGCAGGGTAGCTAGGCACGCAGGGTAGCGAGGCACGCAGGGTAGCGAGGCACGCAGGGTAGCGAGGCACGCAGGGTAGCGAGGCACGCAGGGTAGCGAGGCACGCAGGGTAGCGAGGCACGCAGGGTAGCGAGGCACGCAGGGTAGCGAGGCACGCAGGGTAGCGAGGCACGCAGGGTAGCGAGGCACGCAGGGTAGCGAGGCACGCAGGGTAGCGAGGCACGCAGGGTAGCGAGGCACGCAGGGTAGCGAGGCACGCAGGGTAGCGAGGCACGCAGGGTAGCGAGGCACGCAGGGTAGCGAGGCACGCAGGGTAGCGAGGCACGCAGGGTAGCGAGGCACGCAGGGTAGCGAGGCACGCAGGGTAGCGAGGCACGCAGGGTAGCGAGGCACGCAGGGTAGCGAGGCACGCAGGGTAGCGAGGCACGCAGGGTAGCGAGGCACGCAGGGTAGCGAGGCACGCAGGGTAGCGAGGCACGCAGGGTAGCGAGGCACGCAGGGTAGCGAGGCACGCAGGGTAGCGAGGCACGCAGGGTAGCGAGGCACGCAGGGGTAGCGAGGGCACGCAGGGTAGCGAGGCACGCAGGGTAGCGAGGGCACGCAGGGTTAGCGAGGCACGCAGGGTAGCGAGGCACGCAGGGTAGCGAGGCACGCAGGGTAGCGAGGCCACGCAGGGTAGCGAGGCACGCAGGGTTAGCGAGGCACGCAGGGTAGCGAGGCACGCAGGGTAGCGAGGCACGCAGGGTAGCGAGGCACGCAGGGTAGCGAGGCACGCAGGGTAGCGAGGCACGCAGGGGTAGCGAGGCACGCAGGGTTTAGCGAGGCACGCAGGGTAGCGAGGCACGCAGGGTAGCGAGGCACGCAGGGTAGCGAGGCACGCAGGGTTTAGCGAGGCACGCAGGTAGCGAGGCACGCAGGGTAGCGAGGCACGCAGGGTAGCGAGGCACGACAGGGTAGCGAGGCACGCAGGGTAGCGAGGCACGCAGGGTAGCGAGGCACGCAGGGTAGCGAGGCACGCAGGGTAGCGAGGCACGCAGGGTAGCGAGGCACGCAGGGTAGCGAGGCACGCAGGGTAGCGAGGCACGCAGGGTAGCGAGGCACGCAGGGTAGCGAGGCACGCAGGGTAGCGAGGCACGCAGGGTAGCGAGGCACGCAGGGTAGCGAGGCACGCAGGGTAGCGAGGCACGCAGGGTAGCGAGGCACGCAGGGTAGCGAGGCACGCAGGGTAGCGAGGCACGCAGGGTAGCGAGGCACGCAGGGTAGCGAGGCACGCAGGGTAGCGAGGCACGCAGGGTAGCGAGGCACGCAGGGTAGCGAGGCACGCAGGGTAGCGAGGCACGCAGGGTAGCGAGGCACGCAGGGTAGCGAGGCACGCAGGGTAGCGAGGCACGCAGGGTAGCGAGGCACGCAGGGTAGCGAGGCACGCAGGGTAGCGAGGCACGCAGGGTAGCGAGGCACGCAGGGTAGCGAGGCACGCAGGGTAGCGAGGCACGCAGGGTAGCGAGGCACGCAGGGTAGCGAGGCACGCAGGGTAGCGAGGCACGCAGGGTAGCGAGGCACGCAGGGTAGCGAGGCACGCAGGGTAGCGAGGCACGCAGGGTAGCGAGGCACGCAGGGTAGCGAGGCACGCAGGGTAGCGAGGCACGCAGGGTAGCGAGGCACGCAGGGTAGCGAGGCACGCAGGGTAGCGAGGCACGCAGGGTAGCGAGGCACGCAGGGTAGCGAGGCACGCAGGGTAGCGAGGCACGCAGGGTAGCGAGGCACGCAGGGTAGCGAGGCACGCAGGGTAGCGAGGCACGCAGGGTAGCGAGGCACGCAGGGTAGCGAGGCACGCAGGGTAGCGAGGCACGCAGGGTAGCGAGGCACGCAGGGTAGCGAGGCACGCAGGGTAGCGAGGCACGCAGGGTAGCGAGGCACGCAGGGTAGCGAGGCACGCAGGGTAGCGAGGCACGCAGGGTAGCGAGGCACGCAGGGTAGCGAGGCACGCAGGGTAGCGAGGCACGCAGGGTAGCGAGGCACGCAGGGGTAGCGAGGCACGCAGGGTAGCGAGGCACGCAGGGTAGCGAGGCACGCAGGGTAGCGAGGCACGCAGGGTAGCGAGGCACGCAGGGTAGCGAGGCACGCAGGGTAGCGAGGCACGCAGGGTAGCGAGGCACGCAGGGTAGCGAGGCACGCAGGGTAGCGAGGCACGCAGGGTAGCGAGGCACGCAGGGTAGCGAGGCACGCAGGGTAGCGAGGCACGCAGGGTAGCGAGGCACGCAGGGTAGCGAGGCACGCAGGGTAGCGAGGCACGCAGGGTAGCGAGGCACGCAGGGTAGCGAGGCACGCAGGGTAGCGAGGCACGCAGGGTAGCGAGGCACGCAGGGTAGCGAGGCACGCAGGGTTAGCGAGGCACGCAGGGGTAGCGAGGCACGCAGGGTAGCGAGGCACGCAGGGTAGCGAGGCACGCAGGGTAGCGAGGCACGCAGGGTAGCGAGGCACGCAGGGTAGCGAGGCACGCAGGGTAGCGAGGCACGCAGGGTAGCGAGGCACGCAGGGTAGCGAGGCACGCAGGGTAGCGAGGCACGCAGGGTAGCGAGGCACGCAGGGTAGCGAGGCACGCAGGGTAGCGAGGCACGCAGGGTAGCGAGGCACGCAGGGTAGCGAGGCACGCAGGGTAGCGAGGCACGCAGGGTAGCGAGGCACGCAGGGTAGCGAGGCACGCAGGGTAGCGAGGCACGCAGGGTAGCGAGGCACGCAGGGTAGCGAGGCACGCAGGGTAGCGAGGCACGCAGGGTAGCGAGGCACGCAGGGTAGCGAGGCACGCAGGGTAGCGAGGCACGCAGGGTAGCGAGGCACGCAGGGTAGCGAGGCACGCAGGGTAGCGAGGCACGCAGGGTAGCGAGGCACGCAGGGTAGCGAGGCACGCAGGGTAGCGAGGCACGCAGGGTAGCGAGGCACGCAGGGTAGCGAGGCACGCAGGGTAGCGAGGCACGCAGGGTAGCGAGGCACGCAGGGTAGCGAGGCACGCAGGGTAGCGAGGCACGCAGGGTAGCGAGGCACGCAGGGTAGCGAGGCACGCAGGGTAGCGAGGCACGCAGGGTAGCGAGGCACGCAGGGTAGCGAGGCACGCAGGGTAGCGAGGCACGCAGGGTTAGCGAGGCACGCAGGGTAGCGAGGCACGCAGGGTAGCGAGGCACGCAGGGTAGCGAGGCACGCAGGGTAGCGAGGCACGCAGGGTAGCGAGGCACGCAGGGTAGCGAGGCACGCAGGGTAGCGAGGCACGCAGGGTAGCGAGGCACGCAGGGTAGCGAGGCACGCAGGGTAGCGAGGGCACGCAGGGTAGCGAGGCACGCAGGGTAGCGAGGCACGCAGGGTAGCGAGGCACGCAGGGTAGCGAGGCACGCAGGGTAGCGAGGCACGCAGGGTAGCGAGGCACGCAGGGTAGCGAGGCACGCAGGGTAGCGAGGCACGCAGGGTAGCGAGGCACGCAGGGTAGCGAGGCACGCAGGGTAGCGAGGCACGCAGGGTAGCGAGGCACGCAGGGTAGCGAGGCACGCAGGGTAGCGAGGCACGCAGGGTAGCGAGGCACGCAGGGTAGCGAGGCACGCAGGGTAGCGAGGCACGCAGGGTAGCGAGGCACGCAGGGTAGCGAGGCACGCAGGGTAGCGAGGCACGCAGGGTAGCGAGGCACGCAGGGTAGCGAGGCACGCAGGGTAGCGAGGCACGCAGGGTAGCGAGGCACGCAGGGTAGCGAGGCACGCAGGGTAGCGAGGCACGCAGGGTAGCGAGGCACGCAGGGTAGCGAGGCACGCAGGGTAGCGAGGCACGCAGGGTAGCGAGGCACGCAGGGTAGCGAGGCACGCAGGGTAGCGAGGCACGCAGGGTAGCGAGGCACGCAGGGTAGCGAGGCACGCAGGGTAGCGAGGCACGCAGGGTAGCGAGGCACGCAGGGTAGCGAGGCACGCAGGGTAGCGAGGCACGCAGGGTAGCGAGGCACGCAGGGTAGCGAGGCACGCAGGGTAGCGAGGCACGCAGGGTAGCGAGGCACGCAGGGTAGCGAGGCACGCAGGGTAGCGAGGCACGCAGGTAGCGAGGCACGCAGGGTAGCGAGGCACGCAGGGTAGCGAGGCACGCAGGGTAGCGAGGCACGCAGGGTAGCGAGGCACGCAGGGTAGCGAGGCACGCAGGGTAGCGAGGCACGCAGGGTAGCGAGGCACGCAGGGTAGCGAGGCACGCAGGGGTAGCGAGGCACGCAGGGTAGCGAGGCACGCAGGGTAGCGAGGCACGCAGGGTAGCGAGGCACGCAGGGTAGCGAGGCACGCAGGGTAGCGAGGCACGCAGGGTAGCGAGGCACGCAGGGTAGCGAGGCACGCAGGGTAGCGAGGCACGCAGGGTAGCGAGGCACGCAGGGTAGCGAGGCACGCAGGGTAGCGAGGCACGCAGGGTAGCGAGGCACGCAGGGTAGCGAGGCACGCAGGGTAGCGAGGCACGCAGGGTAGCGAGGCACGCAGGGTAGCGAGGCACGCAGGGTAGCGAGGCACGCAGGGTAGCGAGGCACGCAGGGTAGCGAGGCACGCAGGGTAGCGAGGCACGCAGGGTAGCGAGGCACGCAGGGTAGCGAGGCACGCAGGGTAGCGAGGCACGCAGGGTAGCGAGGCACGCAGGGTAGCGAGGCACGCAGGGTAGCGAGGCACGCAGGGTAGCGAGGCACGCAGGGTAGCGAGGCACGCAGGGTAGCGAGGCACGCAGGGTAGCGAGGCACGCAGGGTAGCGAGGCACGCAGGGTAGCGAGGCACGCAGGGTAGCGAGGCACGCAGGGTAGCGAGGCACGCAGGGTAGCGAGGCACGCAGGGTAGCGAGGCACGCAGGGTAGCGAGGCACGCAGGGTAGCGAGGCACGCAGGGTAGCGAGGCACGCAGGGTAGCGAGGCACGCAGGGTAGCGAGGCACGCAGGGTAGCGAGGCACGCAGGGTAGCGAGGCACGCAGGGTAGCGAGGCACGCAGGGTAGCGAGGCACGCAGGGTAGCGAGGCACGCAGGGTAGCGAGGCACGCAGGGTAGCGAGGCACGCAGGGTAGCGAGGCACGCAGGGTAGCGAGGCACGCAGGGTAGCGAGGCACGCAGGGTAGCGAGGCACGCAGGGTAGCGAGGCACGCAGGGTAGCGAGGCACGCAGGGTAGCGAGGCACGCAGGGTAGCGAGGCACGCAGGGTAGCGCGAGGCGTCGCCGCATCAGTTGCACAGCCGGCTAATCGCGCGCGTCATGCTCTGCTCGGTTCGTGCGTGGCGTTGTGGTGGTGGTGGCAGGTGCTCGTTCTACGCGGTGCTGGACGGGCATGGCGGGCGGCGAGCGGCGGAGTGGGCAGCCAAGCACGTGAACGGCGCTGTGATCGCAGCAGGCCTGCCACGTGAGTCGGTGGGTGCTGCTGCCGCTGCCACCACTGCAGGCGCTGTGCCTCCCATTGTCCCATGCACTGTCGGCCATTGGATGAACCCTTTCATTCTTGCGCTGCCCGCTTTCATGCTAAAAAGGGTCTCCGTTGCGCGCGTGCCCGTGCAGGTGGACATCAAGAAGGCGAAGCGAGCCATCATTGAAGGTGCGTGCTCCCACCCGCACCCTGCTGCCGCTCCACTCCATGTGTTCTGTCCATGCACGCTCACGCCCACTACCCTCTGCTGCATGCGCACGTGCACAAATCTCAGCTTGCTCTCGCATGTGTGTCACTCAAGTGGACCATCGTAAGTCGGCATTTACCCATCCGTGCCATTGTGCTTGCTCTGGGGTGTGTGTGTGCGTGTATTGGTGCGGGCGTGGTGGTGGGAGGTTGTGTGTGTTGGTGGTGGTGAGTGTGTGTGTGTGTAATGGGGTCGGGCAGGCATGAAGAGCACGGACGAGCAGCTGCTCAAGGAGAGCCTCGCAGGTGCGCGCCTCTTTCCACTCCTTGCCTTCCCTCTGCCCGCACTGCCCACATGACATTTCATGCTTCTCTGTGTTCTCGCTCATACCTCACTGCTCCTCTGCATGTATTGTCGCAATCTCTTTCTGGCCGCACGACAGTGTTCATAAAGATGATCCATCGTTAACTGTAATTTGAAAAGCGCATGCTATGCCTGCCTAGTTGACACGTGCGACCAGCTCAAATGATGTTCAAATCTCTGAATGTTGGATTCCCTGGCTTGTGCTTGTGTGGATGGCATGCAGGCAACTGGCAGGATGGAGCGACAGCAGTGTGTGTGTGGGTGCTGGGCCAACATGTACGTGCTCATGCTTGCTGCCTGCACCACCAACGCATCTGCTCTCACAGAGACCTTGTCAGCTACGTTCACTAGTTTGTGTCCTGTGGTCGTTTCGTGTGGCGTTTCATCGCGGGAATGGTCCTTAATATGCTCCCTGAGCTGCACATGCCTCTGATTGCGGTACGTCCAGTGCAGTGCAAGGTCAGGGGAGAATCAGGGGGGAAGGGGGTGGCATGGCAGGGTGGCACGTGGATCAGCTGGGAGGTGTGAGTGGTGTTGGCAGCAAAGCCTAGTGCCGCCTCCACCCATGGGCCTATGAGCCCCGGGCCCCCATTGCCACCACCCGGGCCAGGCCCGTGTGGGCCCGGGGTGTGAGCAGGCTGCTTGCATCCAGGGCCGTCACAGGTGCTGCGTTCCAATTGCCGCCCACTCGTGCAGGGCAAGGGTCGAGGCGGGATGGGACCAGAGCAAGTACCTCCTTTTGAGAGTTGGAGCGGGAGAGGAGCAGTAGGCAGATCTGCGGATGTAGCAACAAGAGGGCCTGTAGTGCTGCGTGTTTGCTCGGCGCGGTAGTGTGTGCTTGTTCCAGAAGGTGTGCAATGTCTTCACTGGCCAGTGTGCTGTTCCCAGCAACTAGGGGGGTGGAGGGAAGTAAGGGGGCAAGGGATCCCGGTTTGGGTATGGGCCGAGACGGGGTGTCCAATGATGCTGCTGGTGGCCCCCCACCTCGTTTGCCGGGAGCTCCAGTGCTGGAGTAGGGGCCTGGGGTCCATATGCTGCGCTGCTGTGCTAATGGGTTGGTGCGGACAGCAAGGCCCGTGGCAGGCAGTGTGTACATGCGGTGTTGCACTCTTGCGTGTGTACATGCGGTGTTGCACTCATGCGTGTGTACATGCGGTGTTGCACTCATGCGTGTGTACATGCGGTGTTGCACTCATGCGTGTGTACATGCGGTGTTGCACTCATGCGTGTGTACATGCGGTGTTGCACTCATGCGTGTGTACATGCGGTGTTGCACTCATGCGTGTGTGCATGCGGTGTTGCACTCATGCGTGTGTGCATGCGGTGTTGCACTCATGCGTGTGTGCATGCGGTGTTGCACTCATGCGTGTGTGCATGCGGTGTTGCACTCATGCGTGTGTGCATGCGGTGTTGCACTCATGCGTGTGTGCATGCGGTGTTGCACTCATGCGTGTGTGCATGCGGTGTTGCACTCATGCGTGTGTACATGCGGTGTTGCACTCATGCGTGTGTACATGCGGTGTTGCACTCATGCGTGTGTACATGCGGTGTTGCACTCATGCGTGTGTACATGCGGTGTTGCACTCATGCGTGTGTACATGCGGTGTTGCACTCATGCGTGTGTACATGCGGTGTTGCACTCATGCGTGTGTACATGCGGTGTTGCACTCATGCGTGTGTACATGCGGTGTTGCACTCATGCGTGTGTACATGCGGTGTTGCACTCATGCGTGTTTACATGCGGTGTTGCACTCATGCGTGTGTACATGCGGTGTTGCACTCATGCGTGTGTACATGCGGTGTTGCACTCATGCGTGTGTACATGCGGTGTTGCACTCATGCGTGTGTACATGCGGTGTTGCACTCATGCGTGTGTACATGCGGTGTTGCACTCATGCGTGTGTACATGCGGTATTGCACTCATGCGTGTGTACATGCGGTGTTGCACTCATGCGTGTGTACATGCGGTGTTGCACTCATGCGTGTGTACATGCGGTGTTGCACTCATGCGTGTGTGCATGCGGTGTTGCACTCATGCGTGTGTCCATGCGGTGTTGCACTCATGCGTGTGTGCATGCGGTGTTGCACTCATGCGTGTGTGCATGCGGTGTTGCACTCATGCGTGTGTACATGCGGTGTTGCACTCATGCGTGTGTACATGCGGTGTTGCACTCATGCGTGTGTACATGCGGTGTTGCACTCATGCGTGTGTACATGCGGTGTTGCACTCATGCGTGTGTACATGCGGTGTTGCACTCATGCGTGTGTACATGCGGTGTTGCACTCATGCGTGTGTACATGCGGTGTTGCACTCATGCGTGTGTACATGCGGTGTTGCACTCATGCGTGTGTACATGCGGTGTTGCACTCATGCGTGTGTACATGCGGTGTTGCACTCATGCGTGTGTACATGCGGTGTTGCACTCATGCGTGTGTACATGCGGTGTTGCACTCATGCGTGTGTACATGCGGTGTTGCACTCATCCGTGTGTACATGCGGTGTTGCACTCATACGTGTGTACATGCGGTGTTGCACTCATGCGTGTGTACATGCGGTGTTGCACTCATACGTGTGTACATGCGGTGTTGCACTCATGCGTGTGTACATGCGGTGTTGCACTCATGCGTGTGTACATGCGGTGTTGCACTCATGCGTGTGTACATGCGGTGTTGCACTCATGCGTGTGTACATGCGGTGTTGCACTCATGCGTGTGTACATGCGGTGTTGCACTCATGCGTGTGTACATGCCGTGTTGCACTCATGCGTGTGTACACGCGGTGTTGCACTCATGCGTGTGTACATGCCGTGTTGCACTCATGCGTGTGTACATGCGGTGTTGCACTCATGCGTGTGTACATGCGGTGTTGCACTCATACGTGTGTACATGCGGTGTTGCACTCATGCGTGTGTACATGCGGTGTTGCACTCATACGTGTGTACATGCGGTGTTGCACTCATACGTGTGTACATGCTGGCGGCGTCTCTGCAAGTAGCCGTCGCCAGGCGGTGGCTCGTCAAGGAAGAAGATAACCTAGCCCGTAATTTGCTCTCTATTCCTCCCTCTCCCTCTCCCTCCTCTTCTTTCCCGCTCCCCCCCCCTCCTTTTTGTCCAGGTGTTTGTTGCCAATCTGGGCGATGCCAAGGCAGTGCTGGCCAGGGAGGCAGATGCAGCAGCACCGCCAGCTGCCTCCACGCCCACAGCAGCAGGCCCCCCGGCAGGGCGTGGGCAAGGCAGTGAGGGTGTGGCGCTCAAGGCCATCGTGGTGACTCGCGAGCACAAGGCAATCTTCCCAGCCGAGAGGCAGCGCATTGAGAAGGTGGGGGGAATGGAGGGGAATGGGGGGGAATGGAGGGGAATGGAGGGGAATGGAGGTGCAGTGATTTCTACATTTCTTGTTTCCAATATACGGCTTCCTTCCCTGCCTGCCACTACTAGCTTCTCGTCATGTGTTTTCCACCACACCTGTCATGCCAGCAGCACCATGATTTGCTGCAGGCTGGAGGCGCAGTCATGCTGCAACCTGCAGGCTGCAGGCTGGCAGCACCATCATTTGCTGCCTGCCTGCCACTACTAGCTGCTCTTGTGCGCTTTGAGCTGCAGGCTGGAGGCTCAGTAATCAATGGTCGCATTCTCGGCCGCTTGGAGGTCTCTCGTGCTTTCGGGGACCGCCAGTTTAAGAAGGTATTGCCACACGATCTATTCTTTGGATAGTGTTTGCCTAGGGTTTGCGATGCACAACTTGAAGCATGCAAGTGTTGCACCTCTACCATAAGGTCCGGGGTCTTGATCAAGGGCCAGGAGATTTGTCGCTAATGCCAGACTGACTCAGCTGTTCATTTTTCTTCAACAAAATAATCAAACAATCATCTTTTTGTATATCTCTGCGCATGTGTATGTGTGTGTGTGACACGTGCTTGTGAGTGTGTGTGCGTGTGCATGACTGCGTGCGTGTGCGTGAGCGGGTACATGCGCGTGTATGCGCATGCGTATGTGTACATTCATGTGTGTGCGTATGCATGTGTGCATGCAGGCAGGGGTATCATGCACGCCTGACATCAGTGTCTTTCACCTGTCCCCGCGTGACCGCTTTCTCCTGCTTGCCTGTGACGGCCTCTGGGGGGTGAGTAATCCATTGGGGAAGCATGGGTGTCCCGTACCCTGGTGCTGCCAGCACCATAAGCAGCACTGTGCACAGCATGTCACACATGTACCTCATCCACTCCCTCTGCATCCTTCAGACTGCCCAATTGTCACCCATGTACACCTCACACCGTGCACCCCTTTGCACCTCTCCTGTGTGCAGGTGTTCAGTCCTGCTGATGCTGTCAAGTTCACGCAGGACCTCTTGCAGGTATGAAGTTTTCTTGCAGCGCGCCATGCTTGCACTCAACTTGCTCACCATGTCTCCACCATCCTTTCTGTGGGTTTGGCCCAGCTTTTTCAAAAAGCACTCTCTCTTGGATCACACCATATCCTGCCACTTGACAGATACCATGTTCATTGTTTGCTTGCGTTTCCAGAAAGGGGTGTCGGTGGAATCTGCTGCTCGTAGAGTGGTGAAAGAGGGTGTGTGGGAGCGCAAGTGCAAGGACAACTGCTCCGTGTTGTTGCTGTCATTCCATCACTTTTCCGCGTAGACAACTCTGCTGTAATGCAACTGGCTGCTTCCCGGCTACCGTAATTCCGGGATGCTTGCTTGATGGGAGATCGGAAAACCAACCCTTTGAAAACCCAGGTGAGGCAAACCCAATACGGGCAAATGTCCGTGTAGTGCCAGCCAGGTCTCGTTTGGATCCCCCACTCTGATTTGGTCTTTCAGGGGGTGCTACATTGGGTCCGTGGAAACCTTGGTCCGTCGACGAATGGCTAGTCCGAAGGACCTGACCCGAACCAGGTCTCACTTCATTGTCGCGGACGGGTGTGAGGGACCAGCATCAACCCTGCAATTATCCGTGGCGAACCGTCAGAATGGCAAGGACCAGAGTGGACCAGGCCTAGGACCATTTGTTATGTGGTAACCACAGAATGTGGTACTAGTCGGGTTCACGAGCTGGCTCACAACTGAACCACCCTGGTCTGCATTAGACAGTTTGTTCCGCAGGGAACCAGGTGTGAGGTGGACCCAATGCAGCACACTCTCACACGGGAAAGCTGTTGCTGTGAGTACGGTGACGTGGTCAGTATGTTTACATGACAACGCACATGTGATGATGATCCTAAGGAAGGACTGATGGCATTATTGGGATGATACATGTCAATAATCTACATACAATAAATAGTCATACAATACAACAGGTTCGTCTGATCTTCCACAAGTTTACTGAATGTTGACATTCTTGACGGTAATGGTATAAGGGGCATTGGTAGGATCACTGTTAACTCCAGCCCACGAGCCACCATTGATGAAAGAAGCGTTCCACAAACTGGAGTATAAATAGACGTTCATTGACGGGAAACTGCTGCTTGTGGATTTCAAGACGGTGCGCACGAGTTCGCCATCAATGAACCATCTGCAAAGAAAACAAGTCAGAATCGTTCAGAACAAACACCACAACGAGATTAGGCATTTTTCTCACTGAATGCTGTCATCCGCGTATGTAACGGCGTAGGTATGAAAGTTCTGGCTGGCGTCGAACCCTAGGTCAATGACCACCTCATGTCCACCGACTCTGTCACAGAAAACATATCATAAGCAAGTAATGCCCAGAAAAATCAATGGCAGCGGTTCGGTGAAGCAATCTCTTCTTACCCATTGACATAGTAGTTTGTCTGAACCTGCATGTTGTTCTTGCCGAGCCATTCAAAATCAATTTCGTCTTGGGTGGTGCTGCCTTCCAGTGAGGACAAGTAGAAGGATGACACAATGCCGCTCGTTGCACCACTAGGAATCATCACGTCGCCTGAGAATGTTGTTCCCGTCGGATAACGTGATGAAGATCGCACACGAGCAGCTGCACCCGAGTAATGTTAGTAAGCAAGAGTAAGTGATCCGGGAATACGATTTTAAAATGCGTACTTCCTGAGTCATCCTCAAATATGTAAAATCCGCGCCCGTCAGAGTCAATAGACATATGATCCTCGACCCCAGCATCAAACACCATTGATGGCCCAGAGTTCATAACGCGGCTTGTTGGTGTTAGTTTGACATTCTTGTGGCTCTTAATCTTGTGTCGTTTAGCTGAGACCCTGTACAAAATTGTTAGGCCAGAAGCAGCCTGAAGCAAAGAAATTACGAAGCTGAAGAAGTTACCCAGGATTCGAGAAGCATATATGAAGGCATATTAGAATCGCGATAGTGAGGATGGAGTAACTGAGCTTGAGGGCCATTTTAGATGTGATAGCACAACCCTCCTAGGACTAAATTAGTTTTGAGAGGGGGGTGACAGTGACTAAAAGTGGAGAAATAAGCAGTATTTGTAGGTCTTCAGCTCGGCTTTCGCGCCGCGATGTACCCAGCACCGGATGAATCGATAAGATTGTGTCAGGATGAAGTGAACATACATATGAGCGTACGCAAGAAACACATATAATCTACAGCATAGCCTCCATGTGTTCACAAATTGCGAAGAAAGTAAACAAGAAGAGATTGCTCAATTAAGACTGATATTCTCTCCAAAGAAAAGAAAAACATGAGGATATTATATGCTATATCAAACCAATTATACGCATTTTGTTCGAACACCACATATACGTTTAAATGAGAACGAACAAAAATGTGTTTTTTTCTAACAAACTTAAACAAGCGCTGAATCGAAGGCCTGGAATATGAATACCAGGCCTCTTGCTAGCAGGAATCTTTTTCCTGTTTGTCTGATAATCAGGAATGTTTTTTTTTTTGGATTTATATGATTTTCCAGTCACGATCAGAAAAACCAAGATAATGCCCGGGGGGGACTCTTGATGAATCAGGGCAGCCCCAGATCCTAGGGAGAGCCCTGATGAATACACATACACGCATACAAAGATTCACACACAAACACACATACAAACACAAATACACACACACACACACACACACACACACACACACCCACACACACCCACACACACACACACACACACACACACACACACACACACACGCACCTGCACACACAAGCACACACACACAGCACCCCCCCCCCACACACATACACACACACACACACACACACACACACACACACACACACACACACACACACACACACACACACACACACACACACACACACACACACATACACACATTCACACACACACACACGCAGAGCCATACGCAAACACACACGCAGACACACAGGCAGACACAGACACACACGCGCAATTACAATTGTTGTAAAACAATATACCTACATATACACACACACATACTGCCTGTAGCAGACTATAGTGTAGTTCTCTCTTGGTGGTGCACCTTTGCCTAGTTCTTACCTTGGCTCGTATAACTTCAACAAGCCCGTATACCTTGGTCCTCTTTCAATATAACACATTTGTTACCTTTTCTTCTTAACAAGCTCCTAAACCTTAGCCTCACGATCCACATCTGCTTTCTCCCATGGTCAAAAGGCCCCCGTCACGAACCCCCTCGCGGCCCCGTCGCGCCCGTCACAGACCCCCATTGCGGATCCCCTAGCGGCCCACGTCGCGCCTGTCGCGGATCCCCGTCGCGGACCCCCTCGCGGCCCTCGTTGCGCCCGTCGCGGACAGCCGTCGCAACCCTCGTTGCGCCCCCCGCCGCTCACGTCACGGACCCCCGTCGCGAACCCACTCGCGGCCCCCGTCGCGCCTGTCGCACCAGCCTGCGCCACCTCCAGCCAGCGACAGCGCTAGCCGGCGCCAACCGCTCAGGCCGCAGCGGCGCCAACCGCGCTAGCCAGCGCCAGCTGCGCCAGCCAACACCAGCCATGCCAGCCACGCCAGCCACGCCAGCCACGCCAGCCAGCACGACACGCGCCAGCCGCTGCGGGGGGGAATTTGAAGGGGGAAGGCCGTGATGGACGTCTCGCCATCCGCTCCAGCCGCACCTCCTTGCCGCGTTTGCCGCTATGAGGGGGAGGCCGTGGTGGATGGCATCCCGCATTTCTGTTGCGCCCACTATCTCTCTCTCCCTTTCCGCTGCCCATCTTCTCATTGTTGCTTGTTGCTCGTTGCTTGTCGCTTATTTCTCGTTGCTTTTTGCTCATTGCTCGTTCTACATGCTGGATTGCTCGCCTATCGCGTGCCTACCCGGCACCTGCCGCGCGCCTGCTGTTGTGTGGTACTATCGTCCAAGTGGGCGATAACTCACTTGTTGAGAATCGTCCAAGTAGATGATAACGCACTTGCCGAGCAGTTTTCGAAACACATTGTTCATGGTCAACTGAAAGGTCAAAGGCGCATTTGTGAGGCCGAAAGGCATCACAGTAATTCGTACCTGGCGTAGCGGGTTCTAAATGCGGTCTTGTGGCAATCTGTGAGAAAGAACGAGCCCTTCGAAGTTGGTCGCGCAAAGCGTCGATATGTGGGATGAGGTACGAAGATTTGATTGTAACCCGGTTGAGCGCTCGATAGTCGATCCACATTCGAATGACACCGGTGCAGCAAATGGCAAATACTTGGTATGATTAACCCTTTCTCTAGTAGGGACTCCATTTGAATTCAAAGCTCTACGAGTTTGGGCCGAGTCAGCCGCCATTGTGTACAAACTATCAATTGCGCGCTGGTCCCGAGGTTGATTTTGTGGGCTTCTGGGCGTTCGGTGGTAAGCCAGGTGGCAGATCTTTGGAGAGATTTTATGGGTATTGTCGAAACAGCTGCGATGCGAGCGGTACAGATGCACACAACTTGTCAATGTCGTGTTTGTCAGTGTCGGCTGCTATCTTGTGCAGATGAACGGCATACAGCTGTGCACCCCTGTTGACATGGCGTGTAATGGTGATGAATTTTACGCATGTACACTCGATATAGTCCAGGGTCCACGCAAGGCTGCGTTATTGGCCCCGCGTGCTTGTTGATGCCACACACTCCTATCATCCAGTTGATGATCGGATTGTCTCATCGCATCCAATCGCGCCCCAAGAGCATGTTGCGGCCGTCCAACGTCCTCGCAATAAACTACATGTTGAAGCCGAAATCTGCGCCGCATTCAAATAAAACCGTCCGTATAGTCTCCGTAATCGCCAGAGGTGCCCCATCCACTAAGTGAGCGTCAATATCGGGCTGACACCAATTTTTTTTTTTTTTTTTTTTTTTTTTTTTGGGAAAAAAGACATCGACTAGCCCAACCATGCCGACAACCAGCACAGGGTGATCCACATCCTCACCCTGGTTATTCGTCCAAGTGCGATCAATTGCATGAATCGGAACCACTACTAGGTGGGGATGGTGAGGTTTGAGTGAATGAGCACTATCAGTAAAGGGTCCGTCTGGTCCTGGCTCTTCCCATTTCCTTGCTCTTTCTTGTCGCAATTCTTTCCCATTTCCATGCAGGGTTAGACATGCAGGGCGCTCTGGCGCAAGGACTCCGTTAATCGAAGCTTGTTGGGTCTTTCCACGAAACCAAATTCTTTCCAGGCAACTCGATCTCACCCACTACATCAGCGCGTCTGTAGTCTCCGCCAGTAAAACGACTTCGTTGAACGCAGTTGGACGGCTTCAGCGCATTGTACTATATCTT